CAACCTCTACCACAAATGTTCATCGCGGAATCCCGTCCGACTGTCGTACCTTTCATCAGAACCTATCAAGAACACGTGTTCCACCCTTAAACGCCAACGGGTACTTTTGTCTACAGTGAGTGCAGGATGTCATTACCTTCTCTTCCCTCTAGTGCTCCGCATAATCCTTGCTATTTTCAGGAAGACGATAAACTCAGGCTCGACCGCACAGCAGCATCGCAACTGATTCGTGATCTCACTCTTATAACTGGCTCAGCCTTCACTCCAACGCACGCCAAACTCTGAACACGAAATTTCTATAGAAATTTAATAAAAGGTTTTTATTGAACTTAGTGATACGTGCGTTTCCGCCACCTCCCCATTTCTGGTTGGAGGAAGTGGGAACACCTTTACTCAAAGGCAAATCCCGTGATGGCTACTCGTGGGTGGCGGGACAGGAGTTTGTAGATGATAAACGGCTTACTAGAGCAGAAAAAGCAAACAAAATCACAAAGGTGATCTGACTAATCCCTACCTTCTCATGTGGTGTTCAGAATTTGACGAGAATCGGGGGACATCGCGAGCGCGGGGTGAGTGAAATACAGAGTATGAGCGAAAAATGAAAAGCGGGACGATACACGCAATCCTACCCACACATGAACGCAACACCGTTCATCCACGACTGAAGTCGTGTCTGAGACTCCTGTGCAAAGTTGCCAAGGTGGTGCTCCGCTCGCCATTACGTCAAGTTGCGGATGGCAAAGACCAGTGCAAACCAGGAGATTGTCGCTCAGCCAAGGGAAGAAGAAGTTGGGTGAAATCACACTTCTGTACAGAAAGGGTTGTCATTAGTCTGCCTCGGGTTTTATGTTCCAAAATGCTTCACCTTGGAATAGCACCAGGAAACCAGCTTTATGGACTGAGTGACGCTCGCTCGGTTGACACGAACTTGAATCCAAGCATGAGTGGGGCACGTCCGGCCGTTGAGAAGAACTTTTGCAAAACGCGATCACATCCGAGGTTTCCTTCTTTGGTGCGATCCCCTTTCTTCATCTCCCATCAGGGCACATCGTTGGTTGGGAATTTGATCGAGTCCGTGCAACCCTTCCCTTAGAAGGCGGCTTTCTGCGACCCCCCCCCCCCCTTCCCCTTCCTACGTACCACTTAGACCTCCCCAATTCCCTTCCAGTTTTCCGGAACATCCCGGAAGCGGGGGAGGTATATAGCGCATGTGAATCGAGAAAAACCGCGAAAAGTCAGCAACCGGGAAATATTCTTCCCATCGCCGCATATTTCTCTCGGAAAGCAAATACGACCCCCTCCCTTATAGCGTCCGTGAAACAAGAGAAAAAAAATCAAAAAGGGTTTCCCGGCTACCAAATACGACCTTCCTGTTGGGGGAATACCCAGCGATGATGTGCCGTGTCCCTCATCCTACCTACCATTCCCGCCAGTTCCTAGGTTTTTCCCAGACTCCCTACCACCTTTCCGGAGCTTTCCCTCGAAAAAAATACTGCATAGGGAGAGGTATATATGTATAGAGTAATTGTAACAGAAAAAACACCAAAAGCTAACTACCGGAATCATTTTTCTCAAGAGCAAATACGACTCTCA